TAATGAAATCAGAGCTGTGTCATGCTGTCTTTGCTCCAAGGTGGGGCTGTAGCCCATGCCTGACCCACGGGTTGTAGGGAAAGGAAGCTTCGCATTTCCATGGCTCCAAATAAACACAGCCTGTTCAGGCCATCTGGTGGCCTGGATTCTGGGAGAGATGGGAACAGAGCAGAGGATGAGGCAGGTTGCCCTGCCGTGGGGGGAAGAGTAGCTGGCAGGCTCTTCTCACTGGCTGCTGACAGGCACCATTCAGTTAGGGGGCCCCTGGGGGGAGAAACGGGCTTATGAGGTAGTACCCGTTCCCCTAAGTAGGTGAGCACTAGTGGGGTTATGGGGGAGCATGCCCCCACAGGAGGCTGAGGCAGGAGGATTGCTGTGAGTTCAAGGCCAGTCTGTTACATCGTGAGTTTCATGCCAACCTGGTTATATAACAAAATAATAGCAATAGAAAGGCTGGCACTGGAGGTTGAAGCCAGAGTTCTACCTCCCCTCATTGGTCTTCCCAGGGCTGGATGGGTTGAGATGGTGCTGGGGGGGGGCATTCACTCAAAATAAGGAAAAGGAAGGAAGGATTAAGAGTCAACAAGCCAGTCCTGGAGGCTGACCCAGTTCTACAGCTTGTGGGTTGACATCTGACTGTCATATGAAGGGATCCACGCGATTTCCCTTCTCCCGTGTGGGTCAGGCTCAGGCTGTTTGTTTTCCGCAGCCACAGGGTAGGAAATCCATTCCGACAAGATCTCTAGACTTTTCCTTCCCGGAGGAATGAGCAGCACAGCACGTGCTCCGTGGCTTGAGCGAAAGGGCAGAGCTGCACCTTGGAAACAGCCTCCCTGTGTGTGTGTGTGTGTGTGTGTGTGTGTGTGTGTACAGGGTTTGCAGGGAGGCTGAGACAGGTGTGTGCCTGATTTCCTTACCACAGTGATTCACTGAGTTCAGCCTTAGATCTAGAAAGGTTTGGGTTCAATGAAAGGGAGAACCAGAGAGACCGCTGTGGCATGGTCATGGACGCCTGTCCCTGGGCACTTAGGTGGCCGCAGTAGGAGCACCCTGCCAGCCGTGCAAGCTGTCTTCTGAATTCCTCGTGCATGCTTGACATGAAGCCCCCAGGCTGTTAGCTGATGGGACACCAGCTCCCTGCTCCCCACACTGCACCTTCTTCCCTTCCAAGGAGTCTAAGTGGAGTCTTGGTGATGACTTGCCTCCCGGATAACAAGTTCACAGTGCTGTAACTGTCCTCGCCACACTGGGGGAGGAGCCAGGTCCCTGGAAGGGAGGGGGGTTGGGAGTGCTATGTGCACGGAATGTAAGTTTGAAAGCCAGGAGATAAATGGCCTCTCGTCTCTCCTATAGCTGCCTTAGAGTCTCAGCAGGCAGGGGCTGGTCCTTAGGGTCTCAGGGGGCAGGGGCTGGTCCTTAGGGTCTCAGGGGGCAGGGGCTGGTCCTTAGGGTCTCAGCGGGCAGGGGCTGGTCCGATTGCTCTTCTTTTCTGTTCCTTCAAGGGATCAGCCTCTTTCTCCCTGTCTGTCACTCTCCCTACCTCAGACGTAGCAACCCAGGAAAACTTTTTAAAACCCTGATGACCTGAGTTGGATCCTTGGAACCCACGTGGTGAAGAGATAGAATCAACTTCTGAAGGTTATCCTATGGTCTCCACATTCAGGCCATGGTATGGGAACCCTCCCCATACTAATAATAAACAGTAGTGAAAGATGGTGGTGAGGCCGGAGGAAAGATGGCCTAAGTTAAGAGCATTGGACTGCTCTTTGGAAGGACCTGGGCTCAGTCCGCGGCATCCACCTGGGGGCTTAAAATTGTCTATGACTCCAGTCCCCATGGATCTTGATGTCTTCTTCGGGTCTTCTCAGGCACCAAGCATCCACAAGGTGCACAGACATGCAGAGAAAAAGTATCCCTACATGTTTAAAAAAAAAAGGCACTGGGGCCTCTTCTCTGTGATAACACCAAAGCAAAGAAGAAAGCTCCCCTACCCCCTGCTTCAGGGCTTCTGAGCTAAAGCCAGAGTGAAGGCTTTGAACTCTAAGAAGCCCATGCTGAATGGCTGACACAGCCACATGCCACATCACCATCTTCCAGGAGCCCAGCCATCGTGGGAAGTGTCCTCTGGCGAGACCAGCCTCATCACTGATCGACATCAGCTTCCCCGGCCTTGGAGTCAGCCATGGTGAAGCCAGAAGAAATGGCATGTTAGTGGCCATTGTGGAGGTCAGGGTTAAGTCCAGATTGAGCAGCCTCGGAAGAAGCTGTGTGTAGTTGAGGTGACCAAGGTCAACGCCCTTAGGCTGGAAGGAGAGAGGGCTCGTGTTCAGCTGGGTCCCAATCATGGTGCTTTGGATGCTGCCGGTAAAACTGGGATGACCCAAACCGAGCCCTGCTGGCTAGTTCTAAATATATAATATTTTTTCACCATAAAACAATTGTAAGTAAAAAATGCCTACAGAGGCTTATTTGAGGTCGTAAAGAATGATAATGGAAAAGGAAGGTGAGCCAAGTGTGGTACTGCACACCTGTAATCTCAGCACTCTGCAGGCGCAAGAATGCCAAGTTCAAGGCCAGCCCGGACTACATATCACGTTCCGGTGGTGCAGACCTAGTTATGCAACGAAACCTTTTCTCAGCAACAACAGAACAGTGAGAGACATTGAACAAGAGTGATCTCGGGCACTCGCTGTCAGTGTGACAGTGCTGAGACCCAATGCTGGGCACAGCGTCTGGATCTGGGGTGAGGTGGGGACCACGAGTTCTAGGCCCCTGAAGGCCTGGTATGGGGACACATGCCTGTAGTCCAGGTCAGAGGACGATGTCGTGGGGTGGGTTCTCCTCTTCCAGCTTTACACGGATTCTGGGGACCAAACCCGTGTTTCCACGGCTGTGGCAAGTGCCGCTACCTGCTGAGCCGTCCTACAGCAGGTCACCATGATGCATACCGTGATGCTGGTGTGGAAGTCAGAGGACAACCCGAGTGAATCATTTTCGAGTGCTGAGCCATTTCATGGGCCCCTCCGTGACTTTTTAAAGCTTATCTTGTCATATGTTGTATCTATGATCCACACATACTAAGATAAAAAAGGTGTCAGGTGTCATCTCTTTGGACCACCAGCTCCTGAATAATGAGTAGGGCCAGAAGTTCAAGGCCACCTTCAGCAACACAGCAAGTCTGAATCTAGCCTCACATCGATGAGATCCTGTCTCAAAAAGGTAAAAAATACCCTCCCCCACTGCTGATCACGAATGTCCTGCCTGAGAGAGCTCCAGCTCCGAGGGGTGGGGTGGGGTGAGGAGTTGGGAGGAGGGGGGATGGAGTGGCGGGGTGTGGGGAGGTGTCTTCCCAAACCAGAATATAAACTCTAAGGCCTTTGTGCTTTCTTTCTTTTTGAGCATGCTTGGCATAGCTTGCTCACTCGGCAGACACAGACTTTGCCAAGAGTTCAGGGGGCAGAGTGACCTCAAAGCAGAACTTGGTGTGTGGGGGGGGGGGGCTGGAGCTCAGATACACCCCTCATCTGTAGTGGTACATGAGAGGTGTCAAACCAGTAAGACGTAGAGACAAAACCGAGGCTCCAGGGCCATTTCTGCTTTTAGAATACTGGTGCATTTTTTATTAAAGAAGAGAATAAAGCATTTGCAAATATATTTCTCTCATGTATACTTCAAAGGTGACACTGGTCGGCTGCTACAGACTGGGGAGTGAACAGGCCTGAACGCCTCCTCTACCCTAGTTGACAGAGACACGCAGAGGGCCCGGAGGTGCCCAGCCCCAAAGGACGAAAGGTTCCAAGCTGCACGAACAGAAGGATCCAGATGCCAGCTGGCATCACAGTGTCACCTGGAGCAAGGCTGCTTCTCCAGGGATGTCAGACATGCGTTATAAGAAAGCCCCTTTACCCATAAGAAGGGGGTAAGGCATGGCGGTTCCCACTGGGCTGCTGCCTCCCGCGGGATTGTACGGCTCCTTTCTTTTCTGGGGTCCCGGGAAGGGTGTCAGAAAAGAACCAGAATCCCGGAAGGACTGCTGAAGGCAAGCTGGGGTCCTGGGCATCTCTTAGACAGAGCTGGACTTGCTGAACTTTTGCAGTAAAATATTGAACCCCTGACCCAGGTTGGGCCTCAAAAGCCCCCCATAAAGGCGGGAGATAAGGAGCATTCTGTAGGAACATGGGACAGGAGGAATTTCTTCCTCAACTTATGAATACTTAACATGGAGCAAAGATGTTACAGCCCCCGGTGAAAGACAGGGATGGACACTGGGACCCGGGTTGGTGGTGACACTCGCACGGAACGTTCTGGAGGCTGCAGGTGTGAACTGTACCAGGGCTGGCCTGAGGATGTGGGGAGTGGATGAGACGTCATGGTCCCTGAGATGGGGCAGGAGCAGAGGAGGGAAGGGAAGCAGAGATGGTAGAGGCCCCCCTCCCCCACCACCCCAGCCCCTGGAAGGCTTCGAGCCCAGAAGGTATTTCCAGGGATGGAACTTGAGGAGGTCGGCTCTGACAAGAAATGGACACTACCCATGTATGGCTGTAGAGGGCCTCCCTCTTCCTGTATTCAAATTGGCTGCAGGTCTGTGGGGGAGCCGAAGGTCTTTGCCAGGGCTGGAGAGGGCCCTGCTCCACAAAGTGGGAGCTACCTGTGCCCTGCTCAGAACTCTGGGAGTGACAGTCACGGCTGGCTGAGAAAGCAGTGAGTGGTCGAGGAGACCCCAGACACCAGCAATGGCTGGCTCTGAGGTCCCTTTCAAGTGTTTCCAGTTGCCACAAGGCTCAAGGAGACCTTGCATTGCAAATCTCTCAGAAAAAGAAATTTGTGGGTAGGGGTTGGGGTGGGGGAAGCCGGCTGAGCAAGAAAGGCCTGTAGAAGACTGGCCCGAAACTGAGGGCGAGGGGGGGTGGGGAGGTGGGGTTTGGGAGGTGGGAGGGTGGGGGTGGGGAGGTGTATGTCTAGAAGCAGAGGGTGGAGAAGCCCCCCAGGGACAGTGGGGGAGGACGTTTGGCTTTTAAACTGAGCTGGGCCTTCAAACTGAAGCAAAGCGGTCAAGGGAGCAGGACAGGCGATTCAAGCCATCGGTAGGAAACATGCTGTGTCCCCAAATCAGAGAGGCCCTCCCTGCTCATGCTCCAGCCACCTGCTAGGCTATATTGCTGCTGCGTAGAGGACTGTCTTATCTGCCAAGGGGCTGCCATCCAGGCATGAGGGACCCCCTTGGCGGGGAGGCAAGGGGCGGCCGCGGGTCTAGAGGGATCACTTGCTGCTGTGCGTCTTGACTTTGGTGGCGTTGATGTCTGCCTTGGTCTTCTGGATCCTGGCGAAGATCTCTTTGAAGAGTGCCTTGTACTCAGGTTGGCTCTGTTCCAGCCGCTTATCCACAGCCTCCACGTGCTGGCTTAGGCTCTTCTCACCCGCCTTGCCCTCTCCCTGGCTCTCCTCGCCCCCCAGTAGGTCCCTCCACGAACTGTCCCTGGAGATGGGCCGCGAGGTCTGCACGCCCGCGTGCCGCACCCCGGCGCCGTGCTGCCGGCACTTGCCCAGCAGCTCCTCGTATTTCTCCAGCAGTGCGTGGTACTGCTCATCCACCTCCCTCAGGATAGACATACCACGCCTGCGCACGCTGTTGGCGTGCAGCGTGAGGTTGCCAGCGTGACGGCTGGCGGGGTCTTTGGCCACGATGGCATTGAGGGCTGTGTCACTGCAGCTTTTGCGCACGGCGTGGCTGGGGGAGGCTGCAGGTGATGAGACACCATCCTGGACACTGCTGTCATCCCCACTGCCTGGCTGGGGGTCATCGGCCTCAGGCGCCTGAGTGAGGGGCGCCAGCAAAGCCTCGGCCAGGTGCTCATCACGGGCCAGCAGGTAGGTCTTGGCCTGCTTCATCTGCTGCAGCTCCAGCAGCTCCGCCTCCAGCTCCTGCACGCGCAGGCGGCAGCCCTCCATCTCACACAGCTGCCGCTCCAGCTCCGTGTACTCCTGGAGCACCACCGTGTACTCGCGCTCGGCACGCTCCTTGCGCTGCCGCTCCTGGCTCACCTGGGAACGCAGCACCCCCACCAAGGTCTGCAGTCGTTCATTCTCCTGCTCCAGGGGCCGAGGGCCCAGCTCCAGCGAGGAACTGTGCAGGCGGAAGGCATCTTCACACCTGCTACGGGAAGTGATAGTTAAGTCATGGCCATGGCCCCGGACCAAAGTGTCAGACCCTGGGTTGTCTTGTCCACCTGTTAACTCTTCCTTCCCCCCCTACCCCCCTCCCCCCGCGCCAGCCATCCACCCCTCTAACTTTCTTTCCCGGCTGTGTCTGAGGATGCTGACTATGTGGATGGATTAATCTAGGATTCTTTAGAAATGGGAGGCACAGGGAACAGTTGAAGGTGGGAACAAAGGCAGTTCTTTGGGTATGTCTTTCCCTGGTTGGTGCTGGCTGGATAGGCTGCTCCATACCTTCTAAAGATGGTAATCTCCCTTCCTTTAAACCCTGATGCCTAGGGATGGTAGTGGCCTTTGTTCTCTTACAATCCTGGACCTAGTTTCCATACACACTTCTTAATCTTTATTTTTTAGACAGGATTTCTCTGTGTAACAGCTCTGACTGTCCTAGAACTTTCACTGTAGACCAGGCTGGCCTCGAACTCACAGAGATCCGCCTGCCTCTGCCTCCCGAGTGCTGGGATTAAAGGCGTGGCCACCACTGCCTGGCTAAGCAGCATCGTATATAGTCCAGTTTGATCTTGAACTCCCTAGCCGAGGGCGACCTCTCGACTCTCCTGCCTCCGCCTTGTGAATGCTGGGATTACAGGTGTGCTTCACCGTTCCTAGGAGGTGTCGGGAATCAAACTCAAGGCCTTGTGGATGTTAGATGGGGCTCCCAACTGAGCCCCATCTCCAGCCTCACCTTGATCCTCTTTGTTAATCTGTCTTTCCCCGTTTTAGTCTGGGGATCGAACCCAGGGTAACACACATTCTAGGTAAGTGCCTGTACAGCTGAGCTACATCCCCAGTTCTGTATTCTTATATTAAATAGTTGTTGAATTAAGATTTAATGGGAACCAAAAGGCACAGTGCTTTACTCCTCCTGGGCTAGAAGCCTGGCTGGGCCAGGTTCCAAACACATGACACATGACCAAGCTTAGATTGTCTCATCTAACTTGTAGGCAAAATGGATGTGATGACTGTTACGTTACCATAGTAACGCCCATGGCTGTCCTCAGCAAGCATCCTGATGGCTTGGACCAGACACAGTCCTCTTCCCCAGCTACTGTCCACCGCGCTCCCTCCTCATCCTTCAGCCACAACCCTTGGAATTCTAAGACACCAGGGCCCTCACCTACCGGGGGCTTGTGCACAGCTCCTTCAGGCAAGGGAAAGTATGGATGGTTCTCCTGCGCTCCCGTTTCTCCCGGCGAACCCGAAGCTGCTCCAGGCCTCTCAGCTGCTCCACCTGGGCCTGCAGCTCCTCGACCTGGGACTGCAGGCGCTCGATGGTGTCCGTCAGCCTGGAATAGGATGAAGCACACATGGGAGATGCATTTTGTTGTTTGTTTGTTTGTTTTAAAGATTTTTAGGACTGGAGAGATGGCTGAGCCATTAAGAGCTAGGCCTACAACAAAAATGTTAAGATTGATGTGCGTGCGGGTGGTGGTGGTACACGCCTTTAATCCCAGCACTTGGGAGGCAGAGGCAGGCAGATCTCTGTGAGTTCGAGGCCGGGCTGGACCAACAGCCTCCAAAACAATACAGAGAAACCCTGTCTCGTAAAAACCAAAAAAAAAAAAAAAAGATTGATGTACATGTGTGAGTGCGTGTGTGTGTGTGTGTGTGTGTGTGTGTGTGTGTGTGTGTGTGAGTGAGTGTGCAGGTGCCTTAGGAGGCCAAAAGAGAGCGCTGGATCCCCTGGAACTGGGTGATTGTGAACCACTCACTGTGAGTGCTGGGAACCAAACCCTGGCTCTAGAGCAGCAGACACTCTCAACCCCAGGGGGATGTCTTAAGGAGACAGGGGCAGTCTCCTCACTGCCACCTGGGATCTTTGTAGGTGGCGTTAAGAACAGACAGTCGCCAGCATGCTGTCTAGGGTTAAAGTCCTAGAACTCTGTGCCATATCCAAGGACCTGCCCTTCTAAAAACCCCAGGCAGAGCCAATCACTCCTCAGCTGCCTTTGGTCCTTCTGTATCCGTGTACATGCATGGATGTCCATGTGTGTGTGGACACACGTGGAGGTCAGAGGATGACCTGCTATCACACCAAAAACAAACTATCCACCTTGTTTATCCTGACAGGCTTCCACCAGGACTCAGGGGAGGCTGATTCAGCTAGGGTGGGATCCACCCATCACACCCCCCCCAGTCTGAGATTACACATGCATGCTGTTGTGCCCTACATTGTACACAGGTGCAAGGCCTTGAGCTCTGGTTCTCGCGCCTGTGCAACAGGCACTCCAGCAACCAGGCCACCTCCCCAGGCCCTCCTCAGGCTCTTGCACACCCCTCTGCCACTACTACCATGCACCGCAGTGACAACATTCACATGTGTGCCTTCCCTCCCATCTCTGAGGTCCCAGAGTCATTGAACCTTTAGTGCCTCCTACTGAGCCTACTGTTTAATTGGTGCATAACCACAGGTGGGTTATTTACTGGAGTATGGGTGACTTTTTATCCATCAGTTGTGGGGTGAGGGGGCTGGAGATGGCTCAGCGGTTAAAGGTACTTGTTGCTCTTGCAGAGGACCTGGGTTTGGTTCCCGCCACCCAAATATATGGTGACCTATGACCATCTGCAACTCTCACTGCAGAGGATCCCACACCCTCTCCTGGCCTCACAGGGCACAGCCCTCACGTGGTGCACAGACATACATGCAGGCAAAACACCCATCTGCACAGAAACAAAACATAAATCTTAAAAAGAAAGGAAGGGTTGGGCAGTGGTGTCTCACACCTTTAATCCCAGCACTCATCGGGAGGCAGAGGCAGGCTCATATCTATGAGTTCAAGGGCAGCCTGATCTATAGGGCAAGTCCCAGGACGCCAGGGCTACACAGAGAAACCCCCCATCTTGAAAAAAAAAGAAGGAAGGAGAAGGAAGGAAGGAGGGGGAACTCTAGTTGTGGGACGAATGTTTCAGCACACACAGCTGACAGAGATGGCCTCGCTACCATCCCAGGCTCTCCAGTATTGTCTTCTAGGAGTGTGTGATTCTCGACAGCGGTCCACACACCCATGCGTCCTCCCTGGGCCTGCCCCTCACCCGTGGATCTTCTGCTGGGCAGCCTTGCTTTCCAGCACCAGCCTCTGGTTGGTCAGCTCCAGGTCCCTAGCCGTCAGGTCCAGCTGCTCGTACACTTTGGCGTGCTGCTCGTTCACGAGCCGCAGCGTGTCCAGTTGCTTGGTCAAGTACTGGGGGAGGAGGTAAGGGGTGGAAGAAACCTTTACAACGAGGTAGAGGCAGGTACCTCTGCCTGGCCCCCCTACCCGCCCCCTAGACCAATGAGCTTTGAAGAGGTTTGTGTTCAACTGAGCAGGGGGTGAAGACCGGGGTTCAGTAGGCTGCGTGGGCGGCGGGGGGGGGGGTAGCCTGGGATTGGGGTAGGCTGCCTAGTGCAAACGGTGAACTATGAGAGCAAAGCTGGGGTACCTTCTTCCAGTTGCACAGAGGTACCCACAGGCCAAAGGCACCTGAAGGTGGGGGACGGGAGGAGCAGTGCCCCTCACCTCAATCTCCTGCACTTGCTCCTCATTGGTGGAGTACATCTGCTGCAGGGACTCCTCCAGTTCCTTGTTCCTCTCCAGCAGGGTCTTCCCGAGCTCAGCCGCCAGGTGCAAGTCTGGGGGAGGGAATTTGGGGGGGACAAAACAAGGAATACAGGGGGAGGAAGTCAGAGAGCCCTCATTCATGCCCTAGCGTTCATCATGGCTGGGCTCCTGGTGACTCAGTGTCACCATGACACAGGCTGTTCTCAGAAGCCCCAGCCTGGCTAGAGACGGAGACCCGGGCCTCTGTGCTGCTGTCACTCCCTTCTGAAATGCCCTTTTCCCTACAGGCTCCAGGCTCACTCCCTTCTGGCCCTTCAGGTCTCTGGCTGGTTTTGTTTGCAGGGATCTCACTGTGGAGCCCGGGCTAGCCTGGGGCTCATGATCTTCTTCTGCCTCAGCTTCCTGACTGCTGGGATTGAAGGCACGTGCTACTGACCAGCTTGGGATTTCTTTCTGCTTGATGTAGAAAACAGATAGCACAGAAAGGCTAGAAGCCAACAATGACAACAACAACAACAAAACTAGTTGAGCCGGGTGTGGTGGCGCACGCCTTTAATTCCAGTGCTCAGGAGGCAGAAGCAGGTGGGTCTCCGTGGGTGGGTCTGAGGTCAACCCGGGATACATGGTGAGGTCCTGTCTCAAAAAGAAAAAAAGCATGAGGCTCTGGAGAGGTGACTCAATACTCCAGGACTCTAGGCTGCGCTTGCAGAGAACCAGAGTTTGGTTCCCAGTAAGCAACCACGGCCGTCTGTAACTGTAGCTTCAGGGGCTGGAACATTCTCTTCCAGCTTCCACGGAAAACCTGTACACACATACACACACTTCTAAATAAAAAATACTGGACCAGTGAGATAGCTCAGTGGGAAAGGGCAATTGCTGGTAAACCTGAGTTCAGTCCCCAGGGCCCTTGTCGTGGAAGAACAGAAGCAACTTCTACAAGCTGTCCTCTGATCTCCACATGCTTGCCCATACATATATGTACACAACATGCACACAAATCACACTGTATTTTTGCCTGTACCTGCCTTTCTCCTATAGTAATATGTCACGATAGCTTTGTATGGGTAGACCAGCACACTCTGTTAGTGGAGGCACAAAATGCTATTGTCTATAGGCTCTAAACACCATCTAAATAGTTCTTATTTATTGTTGGGTGTTTAGAGTGTCTTTGAGTATTTTCTGTATTAAAAGTCAAACTATGAGCCAAGCATGTTGTGGGAAATTTGTACACCATGTAAAGATATATTGCTGTGATTGGTTTAATAAAGAGCTGAACGGCCGATAACTAGGCAGGAGGTCTAGGCGGGACTACTGGGCAGAGAGGAAACAGGAGATAATCTAGGCACTCAGGAATGCCAGGAGACTTGGAGGCAGGACGGGCAGTACAGAGATAAGGTAATGACCCTCATGGAAGAATGTAGATTAAAAAAAGGGTTAATTTAAGTTATAAGAAATAGTTACAAACAAGGCTAAGGTAAGGCTGAACTTTTTATAATTAACAATAAGTCTCTGTCAGGCTGGTGGTCCCAACAAAAAAGTACCACTACATGACTGACATGTGTGTGCATGCCTAATCCCAGGACTCAAGAAACTGAGGCAGGAGGAGCAGGAGTTTGAGGCCACTCTAAGTTACATATGATTCTGTCCCAAAACAAAAACAGGACTGGGGATGGAGCTCAGGGGGCAGAATGTTTGCCTAGCACGCGTGAAGTCTCCAGGACTACACAGATTAGGTGTGCACGTACACTGAGGAGGTACAGACAGAAGGATCAGGAGTTCAAGGTTATCCTTTGACATGTTAGGTTTGTTCAAGGCCAGCCTGAGTTTCACGAGACCTTGCTTAAAAAAGAAAAGAAACAATAACAACAGCAAAAGCAGGAAACTGTGCCCTAGGCCCAAGACCCCAACTCCCCAGGAGGCTGAGGCAAGAATACCACAAATTTAAGGCCAGTTTATACAACTCAGACACTGTCTCAAAATAAAAAGTAGTGGTACACACCTTTGATCCCAACACTCTGGAGGCAGAGCAGGTGGATCTTTGTAAGTTCAAGACCAGCCTGGTCTACAAAGCAAGTTCAGGACAGCCAGGGAGACTACACAGAGAAACCTGTCTTGGAAAACCAATAAATGAGTAGATTATAAAGTAAAATAAAATGTAAAATGACAGCAAAGATTTGGACCTGGTAGCTCATCTCTGTAATCCCAGCATTTGGGAAGCTGAGTCAGGAGGATTTCATCAAGTTCCATACTAGTCAGGCCTATAGGGTGAAACATTGTCTTAAAAACCTAACTCCACAGTGCTGGAGAAATGGCTTATGGCTTAGTGGCTAAGAGTACTTGCTGCCCTTATAGAGGACCCGAGTCCAGTTCCCAGCACGCACACGGCTGCTCACAACTGGTAGCAACACCAGCCAAGGGGATCCAATGTCTTCTTCCTGCGTCTTTGGACACTAGGCACTCACATGGCACACATACACGTGGGCAAAAAAATCACACACAAAATGTTATAATCTTTGTTAAAAACCACTAACAACAGACAGTAGAAGTCTAGGGGTGTAGCTCAGTGGTGGAAGCAGTAGTGTGACTACCTAGCATGTGTGAGGTTCTGGGTCTGAGAAATGAGTCAAACTAAGATTAATCTCTGTAATGTGATGTTTTACTCTTTTGGTTTCTGGGGGGGGGGCACCTCCCAGCTCCCAAATAGATCACACACGGAGGCTAATTCTTAGTTATAAATGCCCAGCCTTAACTTGGTTCATTTCTTGCCAGCTTTTCTTTCTTTTTTTTTTTTTTTTTTTTTTTTTTTTTTTTTTGGTTTTTCGAGACAGGGTTTCTCTGTATCTTTGGAGGCTGTCCTGAGAACTCGCTCTGTAGACCAGGCTGGCCTTGAACTCACAGAGATCCGCCTGCCTCTGCCTCCCGAGTGCTGGGATTAAAGGTGTGCGCCACCAACGCCCGGCCTTTTTTTTTTTTCAGCTTTTCTTAATTAATTATCCCAACTACCTTTTGCCTCTGGGCTTTTTCCTTCGTATATCTTACTTTCACTTATTCTGTGTGTGGCTGTGTGGCCGACCACTGATGTCTCCTCTCCCTGTTCTCTTGCTGTTCCCCTAAGTCTCCTTCTATTTATCCTCTCTGCCTGCCAGCTCCGCCCATCCTTGCTCCTGCATTGCTATTGGCCATTCAGCTCTTTATTAGCACCACCGGGTGTTTTAGACAGACACAGTAACACAGCTTTACAGAGTTAAACAAATACAGCATAAACAAAAGTCACACACCTTGAAACAATATTCCACAACAAACTTCATTGTATTAAAACCTTAGTGCAAGTCACTGTCTTTTGTGATAACTCGTGGGGCAAACAGCAGGCCTATGTGACCCAGCTGGCCCAAAGCAGGAGAGCACTGATTTTTTTATTATTGTTATTGTTCTTATTAACATTATGAGGTCGTTTGTTACACCAGCCTTCATTGTAGGCTGATGGTGTAAATCTGGAGCAGGATTCGTAAAAGCAGCTCTTCCGGGGCCAACAAGACGCAGTGCTATTTTTATACATAATGATAGTTCTGCCTTCCCTTAAAGGCACGTGCTCTCTGGTCCTCCTGAAAAGTTTTAGATGCACGGTTGTTTCGGCTACACCCTCTGCAGTGTAGTAGACAGGCCCAGCCGGGCCTTCCTCTTGCACCCTTAGAGAGCAGGGACCCTGGATGGGCAGAGAGCAGCTAAGCCTAGGATAGGACCGTGTTTCCTTGGGAAGAGCAGCCTGACCAGCCACTGGACCTACACAGAAGGCCCAGACTTAGGACCAACGTCGCTCCGCTCAAGGGTAAAGTTTTTTCTTCCTTTCTTTCCAAAACAGGGCATCTGGTATCTCAGGCAGGCCTCAAACTTGCAATGTAGCTGAGGATGACCTTGATCTCCTGTCTTCTGCCTCCACCTCCTAAGTGCTAGGATTGTTGGGATGTACCACAATTTCTGTTTTGTTTTTGCTGTTTTTTTTTTTAAGGTGTGAGCCACCACCCCCAGCTCCTGCTAACATTCTCCCCCCACCCGATTTATTTATTATGAATACAACAGCCTGCCTCCATGTCTGTCTGCACACCAGAAGAGGACACCAGAGCTCATTATAAATGGCTGTGAGCCACCATGTCATGTGGTTGCTGGGAGAATTTGAACTCAGGACCTCTGGAAGAGCAGTCAGTGCTCTTAACCTCTGAGCCATCTCTCCAGCCCCACAATCTCTGGTTTAAGTGGTGTCAGGGAGTCAAACCCAGGGCTTCCTGCATGCTAGGCAAGCATTCTACCAACTGATCTGAGTTCCCCGAAACTTTTGTTGCTGTTGTTCTGGGGTAGGGTCTTATGCAGTCAGGTTTTCCTTGATACGTAGCCGAGGATGACTTTGAACTCCCAATCCCATTGCCTCCAGCTCCCTAGGATATAGACAAGCTCAGAGCAGGGATGATGTTCTGAAATAGCCAGAACGGGGCCTCTAGAGCTAAATTAACTGGAGAGGACTTTATGTCCTGATGTCACAGACCACAGCAGCTCCTCCCTAGCTAGGCTGTCATGACACAGCCTGGAGCAAACACAGTTTTCCTGAAGGAAACAAAGCTGAATTATGCAAATTAGCTACAAATCCCATAGCCTGCCCAGTCAAGATGCCAAAATATCCAGTTACCTAATATAAACCTAGTAAGGTATTTGAGGACACTTGCTATATGAGTTTATGTATGTTGGGCCAAAGTCTGGAGGCGTCTACAAAGTTAATTTGAAGCCTGATGTTCCCATCGTTGAATGGCAGCCTTGTGATGTACCATGTGCTTGGGGATAAGGGGATAACTGGGGGTGGGGTGGGGCGTGTGGCTGACTGTGTGAGAACCTCACCACCTTCCTGGTCCATAACAGGATGGCGATGTTCAGCTCCCCTTCCTAAATATTTCAGGCCTTGGAACTGTTAGGTGATCTAGGAGGTGACCATTGCTATGCCATACACCGGGCTGGCCTGCCTCAAGATCCGGCAGCTTAACGAGAATTTCGATACCATGCTCTTCCTTCCAGGTGGGCTGGGCTCTGTGACTTCTTGCCGACTGTAGGCTGGGATGGGGACAGGGTTCATACCACACTACGAACCTAAGAGGCATTGAAGATTGCCTGCAGAGACATGGAATGTGACTTAGACACCTAGGGGTCCAAGGATGCCGAAGAAAGGAAGACAAAAAGGAAGCTTCTTGGGGGGGAGGGGGAGAATCTCAGGCGACTCGGGGAAACTGGATCCCATTGCAGGCTGGGCTGCTCAGAGCCCCCTGGAGGGGTGAGGGAAGGAGTCCAGAAGCTGGAGAGAGAGCCAGGGGACCTGGAGGAGTCAGGAAGCAGGGGAGGCAGCTTGCTGAAGGACAGTGGCAGCTCTGGACTCAGGGAGGGTGGCCTGGGAGCTCTGGGAGCTAGCTGGATTAGCAGGCGACTCTGAAGCAGACCAGGGAAGGCGCTGAGTCTGGGCCGACACCTTCCCTGCCTGAACCTAGGGGCTTTCCGGGGCTTCCCTCAGGGGGCTTTAGTGGTTATCGGTAAGGCAATGCCCCAGGGAAAACAAAAGAGACCCTGAAATCCCATGGCCCCTCTGGCTGAGCATCAGGGTGGAGCAGGACACTCTTGACAGAGAGGCAGGAAAGGGACAAGAAGCAGGAACTAGGTCAAGGTGGACAAAGGTCAAAGGTGACAGAGGTAGAAAACACCAGATGTTGGAGCTGGGGGTCCTGCCCCACAGGGCACAAGAGTCAGGAACTCAGAAAGGCCTTTGGGCGTAGCCAGGGTAGAGAAAGGGTATCATTTTCCTTACCATGCTGTCAGAGCATCCCCTGGGGTGGAGGACTCAAGGTCAGGCTAGGCAGGAGGGGAGGTCAGGTCAGAAGATCTGTGACTCAGCAGCCATCCCTCAGCCTGGACAGGGGTGGTCACAGGTGGAGGAGGGGGCAGGCAAAGAAAGAGTCAGTGCCTAATAATTAATTCATGGTGTTTTTTCTATTTTTAACAGGTGCTCACGGCAGCCAGTAGAAAGAACAGAGCAAATCCAAGGCCTCACCTGTCCTGACCACCCCAAAGTCAAATAGCATCTCCAGGGACAGTCTCTTAGGGAAGTGAAGTTGGGGCTTGGTCCACAGCAGGGGGAAAACAGGCAGGAAGGACACCCCATGTGTGGGTGAGGAAACCACTCCGCTGGCCGCCCAGCAGATAAAACACAGAGAAGGGGCGCAGGCACGGGACCTCTGATGTGACTGATGTCTTTTTGGCAGACACTTCTCCCGGTCACTCAGCTCTCCTGGGCTGGCATGCAGAGCTGAGTGGCCAGCACTTCCTTTGTCCCCTACTTCCCCTGTCCTTCATTTGGTCCCATTCCTTGGTACAAACATTTCTCCCCCCCCCAGTGCCCTCCCCTTCCTTCCTCCACCCTCCAGCTCAAAGCTCTCTTTGCTGAGGGGGCCATGCTGTCATACAGTTGTCACTTTGATCCCACTTCCGTCTCCTCTGCTGGAATGCAGGCTCAGGACAGAGATTCTGTCCCTAGACCCAGCACAGCCCCTGGCAGGGAGGTACACTTTCCCCATAGAGTGCTTCGTTACTGGGTGTCCCCCTGGTTCCTCGGTTCAGACCATGACTGGAGCTGCAGGCCAGGCCAGCAGGACCCAAGGAGTGGGGGTGTGCAGAGTTCTTCAGCCCCACCCGGATGGCAATGCCTGTCCCTCATCAGAAGCCACACATCTCCCACCCCTACTCTCCGGCTTCTTCCTCTCACATCTGGGCTGGGCATGGTGCCAAGCCTTCATTAGGGGTGCGGGAACTAAATGAGACTGCTATAGTATTAGCATCTGCCTCCCCTAGAGGCCATCTTCCACAGAACTCAGCTCTTCGTCTCTCATTCTGAGCTAGCCTCTCCCAGGAAGCCATCATTTACACTCAGAGCATACACACCCCCACCAGCCCTTGTGTACCCAGAGGTTTGGAGCTGTGACTGTTCCAAGGTCCCAGGATGATGTCTGGGACTCAGATGAGGCCAACAGATGTTTACGGAGAGGAAAAGTTTTAGGGGTAGTCGCCAGGAAAGAGAAGAAGGCACCACATGAGCAGGGGCCGCTCACTGCATAGCCACGTCTAACCCTAACCCTCCATCCTACACAGGCACCCCAAGGTTCTGAGTCTCTGACAAGCACTGGGACAGCTCCTCTTTCTGCAGGTGAAGCCTGGCAGCTTGGGGAAGTGGGTTGGGAAACGAAGGTTCCAGGATGCAAGTGAATGCTTCCCACACTTGGAAAACCAGAGCTCTGGGGCCCTGAGGATGGAGACCAGACCTCCATGGCACACTCCGTGCCAGGCTTGTGTTTTAATACCTCAGGGCTTGCAGGCGACAGTGGGAAGGTCACTTTTCCCTAGATACGTTTTCCTCACCCCCTGAAGGTATCAGCAAGAACAGGCACCTTGGCAGAGAAGAGGGTGGGGCAGACTCCACTCCAGCAGGCTTTGGCCTTGACCCTGACCCTCTCAGTCAAGACGACTCCACCTCGACTCTCAGTGATGTCACTTTAGCCACCTCATCACCAGCTTCTAAACCCCTTCCAGTCATCCTCTGGGCCCTCAGATGAGAGCCATGGAAATGGCTCCCTCTTTCCCGGGGCAGGGAGCACGTCTCAAACGACTAAAGGATGCCCGCACATCCTGAGCCCAGTGCAGGGGAGGACAAGGGATACTTTTCCCAGGAAGGCAGGCTGGAGACTCCAGGTTTCTTCCCAGGCACGCTCCCCGCACGCACCATCCCCCTCTGGGCAGAGGGAAGCAAGCTGGGGAAACTTTCACGACAGAGTCTTAGAGCTCACAAATCCAGGCCGGGACAGGTAGGTGCTGTTGATTTGGAGCGATGACAACTCAACACAGAGTACACTCCCGGCAAAAGTACCAGGGATCCCCTGCGGACTTCCATTCCACCTGGTACCCGGGCCCCCTAACAATACCCTACCAGGGATACCCGAGTAGATAGATGCTGCTACCACGATAAGAAGGGAGATGGATGCCCTGTCAACTAGACACTTTCGCAGGTCTCCCTCTACCGCGTCCGAATCTTCCGGGGCAGCGCCCCTCTCGGTTCACGTCCCCGTTCTCAAGACTCACCATGCGCACCAAGTCCAGCCCAGCCCTTTTCTAGGTGATGCCGCCCAACAATGGAGCAGCGGCCAGGGGTCTCGGGGCACACGCCACTTCCCTTCCCGCCATGCTCACCCTGCTCCAGGTCCTGATGATCGTACCAGGACTCCTCCTCCTCTGCGGAGTAGTCCTCCATCCCGGCCGCTCTCCGCATGGCCCCGCGGGTGGCGGTGGGCGGGCGCTGCGGCAGCTCAGGGCCTGGGCTCGCAGCCCGGGACAATGCGTCGGAGGCGGCCCGGGCTTCCCACGTCGCGGGCTCGGGCTGCAAAGCCCCTTCGCCCGCCCCGCGCGATCGCCATCCGCTACCGGCCGTGCGCACAGAGGGGCCTCTGGCTCCCGCGCGCCCTGGGTCCCGCCGAGCTGGGGACGTCGGGTGGCGGCGGCACAAAGGGCGGAGGGGTGGGGACTGCAAAGCGGGACGACGGCTGGGACGACCCGGGACCGCCTGCAGGGCTGCGGCGTCAGGAAAGTGTGGGTGCCGCGGCGGATACCCCCTGCCCGCCTCGGGCCCGCGCACCACCCGGCCCGCGCCGCGACACCCGGAGCCGCCGCTGCATCTCCGCCCGGCCGGCTTGCAGCGTCCCAGGCCGCCAGCTCTGCGGGGTGGGGCCTACCGCCGGAGGCCAATCATAAGGCGTATGCAAATAGGGGGTGGGGCCTATGTTGAGGACCTTCCTGGTGTCCTGGTCTGGGAATTGCTGGATCAACCTTCTGTCCTCCTTTTCCCTCCACGTCCGACTTTTGTTTACGTCCATCTGAAATTATTTTGTTTACTTGTTGTCTGTCCTGGCTTTCCTTAGAGCAAGGGTCTGTCTGTTGTCCACAGTGGTCTTCACCGCGGAGAACCGGATGACCCACGGTTACATTCCATGAATGTTCTTTAAAATGGTATTAATTTACAAATACCTTTAAGTGGCTCAGGATTGGGGGTTTGGTTACTGGAGAAAAGAATGGGGGTTAAGAGCTCTTGCTGAGAATCTGAGTTCGGGTTTCCGTACCCACATCAAGCACCTCGCAGCAGCCTGTATCTTCAGCTCCCGGGACAATCTGACAGCTCTGGCCTCTAGGTACCCGCAATCACATGAGCCTTCACACATACACACCATACATACACAAGGTTAGAAAGAGCCAGGCATGGTGGCTCCTTCCTTCCGCTGATAACAGGACTTGGGAGGTTGAAGGAGAAGGATTGTCTTGAGTTCCAGGCCAAGCTTTTTTACACAGCTTGTTCCAGGCCAGACTAAGCTACAGTGTAGGAGTCTTTCTGTAAACTAAACTAAGCAAAACTAAACATTACCTTAAGGGGTCTGAGGAGGTGGCTCGGAATACTAAAAGTGCTTACCAGCTTAAAAAAAGAAAGAAAGAAAGAAAAAGAAAGAAAGAAAGAAAGAAAGAAAGAAAAAAGCAGAGTGTGTGTCTCAATCTTGTAATCCCAGCTCTGGGGCAGGGGAAGCCCCAGATGGATCCGTGGTGGTTCACTGGCCTGCCAACCTAGCCTACTTGGTGAGTTTCAAGCCAGTGAAAAGCCCTGGTTCAAAAAACAAGGTGGAGGGCTGGAGAGATGGCTCAGAGGTTAAGAGTACTGGCTGCTCTACCAGAGGTCCTGAGTTCAATTCCCAGCAACCACCTGGTGGCTCACAACCATCTATAATGAGATCTGGTGTCCTCTTCTGACCTGAGGGGATACATTCAGGCAGAACACTATATAACTAATAAATAAATCTTTAAAAAAAAACAAGGTGGACAGCTCTTGAGAAACAACACTTGGGGGTTATCCTTTGTTTTCAGCACACACATGAACACACACACACACACACACACCCTTTAAGAACCTTTATTTTGAGCTGGAGATAGCGCAACAGTTTAGAGCACTTGTTGACTCTTGCAGAGGACCTGGGATTCATACTCAGGACTAATGTGATGGTCCAGAAACATCTGTGACTCTGGTTCCAGGGATCCATTCTCCTCTTCTGACCTCCTTGGGTACCAGGCACACGTGACATACATGCAGGCAGATACTCATACACATGAATATAAGTACAGCCGTATATCACCTTTTTGGGGGGCAGGTTTGAGACAGGGCTTCTCTGTGTGGCCTTAACTGTTCTTGCCTGTCCTGGAACTCACTGTATAGACCAGGATGGTCTTGAACTCACAGAGATCCACTTTCCTCTGCCTCCTGAGTGCTGAGATCAAAGGCATGTACCAACACTGCTTGGTAGAAATATAACATCTTAAAAAAAAGGAACTTGAATATTTAAAAAACCTGATATCTAGTAGAAACAGGCTGGAAGGAATGAAAGCTGAGAATGTTTTCTTGTGTTCTGGTCTTTCTCCTTTAAGGTTTTGTTTCTTATTGCTTGAGACACAAATCTTATCTCCAGTTACACCCTTAAAAGCGACAGTTTAATCCATCCAAGCATTTCTTCCTTCAAGGAGTTTTCATATTCAAGCACTCATTAAGCTTGTTTTTGTTGAGACCCATCATGTGTGGGCATTGTTGGAGCACTCTGAGTATGTGTTGTGATATACCCAGTAAACGACCTATATCCAGAGTACAGCAAAACCTGAAAATCCAAAGGAAAAAGGCCTACGGCCAGGAGGAAAATGTGTAAAAGACTTGACAGTTCCCAGAAAGAAATATCCAAGTGTTACTCAGCTTCTTTAGTCATCAGGAAAGGATAATTAAATCCACAACGAGGTACCACTGCTACCATGTGCTTTAACTGTCCCCCAAGGCCCATGTTAAAGGCTTGACTCCCTGAGTGGTGGTGTTGGCATGTGTGAAAATGCTTGAGAGATGGAGAAATACTGAGTAGACGTGTGTGTGTGTGTGTGTGTGTGTGTGTGTGTGTGTGTGTGTGTGTGTGTGTAATTCCAGTCCTAGATCAGATTCATTCTTCTAGCCTTCACGGATACCAGGCACTCATATGGTATGTATGAATATACCTATACATATAAAATTAAAATGAAAAAATTAATGTTCAAACCTAGCAACATCAACCAGAAAATAGTGCTTAGGTTTTGCAAGACAGGATTTCTCTATGTAGCCCTGGCTGTCTTGGAACTCTCTCTGTAGACCAGGCTGACCTCGTACTCAGAGATCCGCCTGCCTCAGCCTCCCAAGTTCTGGATTAAAGGCGTGTGCCACTACCACCTGCCCCTACCACCTTTTATTTTTATTTTTTTAAATAGAGTCTCTCTATGTAGCCCTGGCTGTCCTACAACTCACTAGGTTAACTAAATTGGCCTCGAACTCTCAGGGATCTGCCTACCTTTGCCTCCTGGGTGTTAGCATTATATGCACACACCACCATGCCTGTCTAATTCAACCATTTTTAAAATCTAATTTTTATAATTAATACGTGTGTGCTTGCATGCACGACTGTGGAGATCAGAGGAGACAGTTTAGCAGGAGTCTGCTGTCTCCTTCCACTGTGGGTTCCTGGGATCAATCTCAGGCTGTCAGGCCTGTGCAGTACCATCTGGCTGGCCTGAGCTTCACTGTTTTAATTGCAGAGCTCCGCAGGGCTAGCCACATGATGCTGTGCAGCATCACCACCATCATCTACTGAGCGCTCCGCTCACTGTCAGACCGAAACTGAATCCCTCACTCCCTGTGCATTGGGATGTTCGGTTTCCGTTCTGCGTGCTGGTTGCATGCCTCCTTTTGGGAAAACAGAGGTCTACTTGAACACCCAAGACAAATGCATTTTTCTGACGACATTTCTTTGAAGACATAGCTTAAGAAAATAAAGTAGGGGCTGGAGAGGTGGCTCCGTGGTAAAGAGCACGGACTGCTCTTCCAGAGGATCCAGGTTCAATTCCCAGCACTCACATAATGGCTTACAACCGTCTGTAACTGCAGTCCAGCACAGTCTTCTGGACTCTGCAGGCACTGCACGCAAGTGGTGCACAGACGTACGAGCAGGCAAAACACCCACGCACATAAAAGTAAAGGACGTGGCGATCCAAGTCGGAAATCTCCATCCTCATGAGGCCAGGCGGGCAGACTGCTGGGATTCGAGGCGTACGTGGTTTACACGGTGAGTACAAGGCCAGCCAGGGTGACGCGGCAAGACCCTGAAAGCAAACCCTGAGGTCATTTGAGCAGAGGGCAAAGAAGAAGTAAGGGAGGAGGAGAAGGGAGAAGACGCCCTGTGACCGGAAGCGGCTATGTCTGCTCTTGTGTAGTCACAAACTACAGTGTGTGTTAGGGAAAAGTTGGCGGGTTGTTGTTGCGTGTCTGGGGGACGCTTAGACCCAGCCTGCGGAGGTGCCACCCTCAGGGTAAAGCAGCAGCTACACTCCGTTGATCAGGAGGCTGCTCTGGATACATCCGGATGCAGGAGACAGCAAGATGAAAAACGCCTAGGCACGAAAGAGAGGGACCACGATGGGGTCTGTGGGGAATGCAGCATGGCTAGGGTTGGACGAGCAGAGAGGAATGAGGTTAGAGTCAGAATTTTATCCCCAAATGAACTGATAAAATAAAAGCCTTTTGTTTTCATTTGTGAAACATCAGCCTGATCGTTTCGGAAGTATGGGATTTTGCAGAGGAGCAAGACGGGCATAGGAACATTCGCAATGAGTGGCCTGGAATGCGGTAACGATGGGATGGGCAAGGCTGTGGGGAGGGGAGGGGAGGGGAGAGAGATGATGATGGTGACGGGGCGGGAATCAACTGGTGCATCAGAGTGATGCCCACACAGACTTGGCTCTAGAGTAGCTGAGCAGAGGTGAAGCCATCTGGAGCTGCGTGCGAGGGACCCTCGGATCCAGGGGTGGAGTTCTAAAGGGTCAGCTCAGGTGAGCCTCCCTGAATGTTTGCAATTCGGCCTGCTCCCACCCATCATGTCTTCATCTTGCAGCTCGGTGGGAAGGGACCCATGAGCCAGAGCTGCCCTAGCAGAAGTCCCAGAGGCAAGGAAGGGCTGAGGATCAGGTCTGAGGATGGCTCCCCAGCCTGGGTAGTAAGGATGCTATAGGGTATCCTCCTTGTTAGAGAAAAGAAAAAAAAGAGATTTGTTTTATTTTACTTATTTTCACCTTCCCGCAGGTTTATTTTTAATGTTTATTAGTGGGCACTATCCACAGAGGCCAGAAGCTAGCGTCAGATCCCCTGAAGCTGGAGTTACTTGTGAGCTGCCTGACGTTGGTGCTGGGACCCAAATCCCAGTCCTCTGAAAGAGTGGCAAACACTTCTCAACCACTGGGTTGTTTCTCCAGTCCCTTGCTTGGGCAATTAAAGGCAGACCCGAAACAAGAAGACTTGCGCCATCCCTTGGCACTAAAGCTGCTTCCAGTGATGAGTTAAATGTCCTCTGCACTCAGAGTCACCCAGCTCCTACTCACCTCGTCCAAGCCCTCAGCATGGCTCACCCAAATGCTTTGCTTCCCAGAGGCAGGGATGGGCATGTCATGTGTCATCCCATGGAGATGGGGGGGGGTCATGCTGGCATCTCTCTCTCTCTCTCTCTCTCTCTCTCTCTCTCTCTCTCTCTCTCTCTCTCTCTCTCTCTCTCTCTCTCCCCAAACATGCTGGTAGAAGAAAATTGGACTCTCAATGTACATCCCAGATGGCTGGCATGAGGCTAAGGCTGAAGTTGGGCCATTGGCCTGGCCAGAGTGATGGAATCTCTTGGGCCCTTTGGCAGAACACAGAGGATGCCGGTGTAGGAAATATGGATGTGAGTTGGATGGGGGACTGGCCTCAGGTTCCTGGCAGTGTAGGGGTGGTGCCTCCTCTAAGCTGGTCCATGAGGAGATAGTTCCCAGGAAGAAAGTTCCTCTACCTCCCTTAGCTACCATTGTCCCTGACATGTATTCAAAACTAGGTGGATACCAGTGCCTGGTGTAGGACAAATAAATCTGGACCAGATAACCCTTTGAACCATGTATCTCATATTTGGGTCAGAAAATCCATGCCTGGGGTCATCAAAGTGCAGCCCCAAAGGCTGGAGCCTTTGGTAGACGCAATGCCTTCCTAGATTTTGAGCAATACAATTTCTTTTGTTTTTTTCCAGGCAGAGTTTCTCAGTAGCTATGGAGTCAGTCCTGGAACTAGCTCTGTAGACCAGACTGGCCTCGAATTCACAGAGATCCACCTGCCTCTGCCTCCTGAGTGTTGGGATCAAAGGCGCACGCTACCCTTCTCCACCCCCATGAGCAGTAGAATTTCTTAGAGGTCTGTGTTGACTCCTAACAGCAAGATGTACTTCTCTGGGCCCACCCTGGATGCCCAGAAACGTGAGTTCTGGTCCTGAAGATGCCAGACCAGGTCCTGGGGACGCGAGCCCAGACTCTGAGTGCAGAACAGGTCACCAACACCAATCCGCGACTGACCTCGGAGCTCGCTAGAGTGGAACCGCCTGGCTGCCAGCTAAGCTCCCACTGGGTTGAGGCTCTGGAAGTCAATCTGACAGCCTGGGGTCGCCCAGTCGCCCAGTCCTTAGGCACGGTCCGCCGCCTCTCCTCTGCATGCAGCCCCAAACAGCTGGCCGGAAATGACGGCGCACACGCTGGCAGCGCTGACGTTGGAGGTCCGGCGCGTAGTCACACCAGCGTCTCCGGAAGAGGTCGAGGGCGTCCCACTCCCATCTCCGTGCCCTTCCGTGCCAGCAGATGCGGTGATGCATCTTGGGTTAAAGTGAAAGAGGCGACGCTAGGGATCTTTCTTTGGGATTTTTCACCTCTTCTGCAGGCGGCGCTCCCTCCCTGTCCCCGTTCCCGGTCATTCTAAGGGGCAAATGGCACCCAATGATCTCTGTCTGTCCGTTCTACCAGCATGAGGTCAGTGCCTGGCAGAGTAAAGCACTCAATACATCTGAATGGGTGAGGTCATCTGGTGTTCCTCCGCCCTCCCCCATGCACTGCTCTGGGAGAGGAGTTCTGGATTCTCACAGACCTTCTGGAAGGAAGTGTTTCCATGTGCGAGCCTCAGATCCCACAGCTCACACCCCCCAGGCTTCTCATGAGGGTGCAGACAGTGTCCATCCTTACTCAGAGGTTAATGAGGGAATTCAAAGAGTATGAAGCCAAGTACTTAGAACCAGGTCGGGGCCATGGGGCAAACGGAAATAAATGTTTGGTATTAGCACCTTACAATTATATGTAATAACACCTGCATCTATTTTCCATCTCTATTTGGTCTGGCACTCAATATGTAGAGTAGTTTGGCATCAAACTCACGGAGATATGCCTGCCTCTGCTTCCTGAGTAAGGGCTTGCGCCGCCTTGGCTGGCTCTACTTATCTCTTCTGGAGACAGGTTCTTGGGTATCCCCCGCTAGCCTCAAACTGTAGTCAAGGATGACCCTGAACTTTAAAAAATATTTACTAAACTTTATTTTATGTATGTTGGTGTGAAGGTGTCAGATCTCCTGGAACTGGAGTTACAGACAGTTGTGAGCTGCCATGTGGGAGCTGGGAATTGAACCAGGGTCCTCTGGAAGAACAGCCAGTGCTCTTGACCCCTGAGCAAAGTCTCCAACAGGGAACCCTAAACCTGATCCTTGAGTCTCTACTTCCCAAGTGCTGAGATTACAGGCATATGCCATCACTTGGATGTAGCCCCGCTGGGGTCTGAAGCTGGCAAGTTGTGGATGCAACATTGTACTAACTGAGCTAATTCCCAGTCTTTTGTGTGTTTGTTTTTTGTTTGCTTTGTTTGTAGCCCAGGTTGTCTTCCAACTCACTGTGTAGTTAAGGATGACCTTGAATTCCTAATCCTCCTTCATTCATTCACCTCCCAAGGGCTGGAATGACAGATTTGAGCCACCATGCCCAGTTAATTAATACACTTTTAAAGCTGTTCTTGGCCCTCGCTGGTAGGACTCCTGAGGCAGCTGGCTAGGGGGGCCCTGCACAGGAACCTTGCCTCCTGGTTGGCTATCTGGGCATGTGTGTGTGTGTGTGTGTGTGTGTGTGTGTGGGCGGGGGGGTGGGGTGGGGGCGGGGAGGGGGGGAAGGGCCAGGCTTTGGACTTCCGAAGGAGGGACCTGTGGAGAAGTCCCAGGTCACAGTGCTTCACTCTGGCTGCTCCGGCTCAAACTGTATCGTACCCAGTCACATCACAGCACATTGTACCATTGCCTGGAATGCCTGAGAACTCCTTGAGAGGAGGCCGTTTGTGGCACATGGCTGGTATCCGGTCAGAACAGGCATTCTACAAATCATGGCAGAAGCAAACTCCTTGGCTTTCTTCACCCTTTTCCCTGTGACCCTCTACACTTCCAAGCTCTCCTTATTGCTTCACCCCAGGGCCCCTGAAAAACTCCAAGGAGAACAAAAGATGATTCTGAAAACAGCTGATCAAAATGCTGTCATTCCCACGGCCTCAAGTGGAATGCAAATTACCCAAGACTTCATAAAATCAGTGTGTTTAGAGCAAGGGGTGCAGGGAACGAGACAGGTCCAGATCCTGCTCATGCAAAACGTAGAGATAGAAGTAGAAAAGTAGAGACAGGCTTGAAACAAAATGCAAAAAAATGTATGCACATATATTGAAAGTGGTGGTGCGTGCCTGCGTGGCTCAGAGTTGAGAATGCATATTACTCTTGCAGGGGACCTGAGTTCAGTTTCTTGTTGGTCAGTTCATTATAGCCTGTAACTTCAGCTCCTGTACTCTGGAGGTACTGTACTCAAATACGCACACAGGCACACACATATATACATAACTAAAAAGGAAATAAATCTCAGATAAAACAATACAATGATTAATTCGTTTGTATGTTGCTCGATTTGCTGTCCCTCCACAGTGAGGTGGGCTCTAGGTTCCCTTCCCTTAAATCCACTAGGCTGTGACTATTGACCTATGCAGTGCAGTATGGTACAGTAATTTCGTGTGTTATTTCCCAGGCTTGCCACTAATGGGCCTTGTAGCTTCCCCTGTTCTTTGGGAACACCCTTTTGTCATACACACTTTTGGGATATCTCCTTTCAGCTCAATGTTCTTGCTGCCGGGCTCCAAGTCACAAGGTAAGGCCACATATCAGTATATTTTTAAACATTATTTTATTTATGTGTGTCTGCGTGCGGATGTATGCTGTGTATGTTGGCTGGATGAAGGTGTTGAGTCTCCTGGAGCTGGAGCTGCCGGCTGTGTGTGTGAGCTGCTGGACACGGGCGCACTCTGAGCCACTGAGCCTGTCTTCATTCCCACGTGTTAGTATTTTACCTTCAGACCTAGCTGAGCCCAGTCCTTGGGCTTCTCCCAGCTCTGGCCTGGATGTGTGAATGCAGACATTCCCAGATGGTTCCATCCCCCAGCTCTTCTGAGATAACCCTGCTCCAGCCATTCCAGTCTTCCCAGCTGAGACCCAGTCGGGGGATGGAGACCAGCTGCATCCCAGTTGAGTCTCTAACCCGGGGAATTTAAGAGACAGTAAAATGGGTATCGTTTTATACCATTTGGTGGGGGAAGTTGTTTTGTGGAAATGCTCCTTTAAAATGCCCATCAGATTGACAACCAGATTCCAGGATCCCAAGTGCATCCTCTACGTCCATCCTTGCTGCCGCTGCTTTGGTTCAGCCCTATCTATTCTCTTGCCTACTTACTCTCAGCGTTCAGCCCACTTTATTCTTCCTGTTTCAGCCAGGGCAGTTCGCTAAGACCTAATGCCATCTGGTGACATCATTTCCCCACTTCGAAGGCTTCCTATTGGTCGTGCAATAAAATTAAAGCTTATCAGGTTGTATGTAGCTCTCTATAGTCAGCTCCTGGGATATTTCAAATGTTATCTCTCATCGCTCCCCCACCCCCGCCTGGTCTCTGGATGTTATACCAGGCTCTCTATGCTCCAGGCCTTCCTATCACTCCCCCACATCCCCCACCTGCTCCCTGGATGCTATGCTCCAGGCCTTCCTCTTGCTTGTTCTCCCAAACAGCTAGATGCTGAAAATTTTCCACTTGCCTGTGTCGATTCCCATATGTCTCCTCCACCTTGTTCCACATCTGGATGGCTGAACTTTCCTGGGCTCCATCAATGGGTTCTCTTATCCTTCTGCTTTCTGGGGGGTTCACCTGATTGGCAGGAAGCAAAAGAGGAGTGAAACGGGGTGTCCATTGGCTATCTCATCCTCTTCTGGAAGACTACAGCTTCTGTTGGAATTTTCCTATGGTGGGATCCTGTCCCTGGGTTCTGGCAACTATTTCTTTCCCTGTTCCTTAGGGGTCTCAGTGACCCATTCTGACCCCATAATGCTTCCCTGCGAATAGCCTCTTGAGCACTCCTTGAGTACCGTGTCTTCCGTCTGTGTCCAGCTGGGTCCCTCACTAACACATTCAGTTATCCTCTTACCTGTTTCTCCCAGGTCCCCTGGGCAGACATTTACTTCCAGTGTCATAGCTCTCAGACCTGTATTGCTGTGTCTTGTTCTGCAGCAGAAACATGCACAGGGTCCTAGCCCCTTCAGTGGTACCTGGCGCCTAGCGGGTTCCAAGTCAGCGTTTGTTGGATGAGTGATGGTTGACCTTAGAGAAAGGGCCACAGGAGCCATAGGCCAGTGAGTCTTTTATCCCCGGGCACAAAACAAGTACATAACATACTTTCTCATTGCCAAAAGCCTTCTAGAAGATTGCCACATCGAAGAGGAAAGAGTAATTTCTGTAAGTGTTCAAAAGTGCTATTTTATTTGCTGATGGTGTGTGTAGGCACACAGATTATTTTCGTAAAATGTTTACTGTAAAAACTTTACATGCATACAGCAGTAGAGACACCAGTGTGTTCAGTTAATTTCTTTGCTGCAGCAGTTGTTATTTTCTTTATTTTTTTGTAGGGCTGGGGATGGGGCCCAGGATCTTGTGCATGCTAAGGAAGCGGTCTACCGACAAAGCTATAGCCCATGTTCACTGTCCTTCTATTTTAAAGTCAAGTTTATGGAGGTGCAATTTACATACAGTAAAGCTCACTCTCGAGGCTTACAGTTGTGAGAACAATCAAACGGAAGGTTTTCATTGCCCCACAAAGTTCCCTCGTTACATTTCTGAGTCCACTCATCTAGCTCATGACAACCACTGGTTTGTTTTCTGCTCCCACGACTCCACTGTTTCCAGAATGTCTATAAATCATAATATAGAATATTGTAGCCAGGAATATTGTACACATTGTAATCCCAGCAGGCAGAGGGTGGGAGCAGGAAGATCAGAAATTCAAGGCCAGTCTTAGGTACATAATGAGTGCCAGGCCAGCCTGAGCTACATGATACCCTGTCTCCAGATAAACACACAAAGAAACAAAAATAATCTACTTTCAGTTAGTCAGTTAATAGCTGATCCCACCAACCATCTAAGTCACAGGGGCAGATTAATTTCCTAGTGTCTTAGGGCAAGCTGGGAAATTAAAATTTGGCGCCCTGCTTAGGAGTCTCTGAGAAGCCCACTGACCAGTGGCATTGGTGCCGGGTGCTGTGGAATGTTCCCAGATATTTTTTGTTTGTTTGTTTGAGACAGGGTCTCATTATGTTGCTCTGGCTGGTCTGGAGCCAACTATGTAGAACAGGGTGACTTTGAACTCAAGGAGATTCACCTGCCTCTGCCT